GCTAAATTTGGACGCCAGTTCTTACATACAGATTCAACTTAAGAACCCCAGGCGTCCCCAAGTCAGCCGCAGCTGAAACTGATCAGCGGCTGATTCCAGGAAGCCCAGGGCAGAGCAACTCTGCCTCGGGATTCCTGTAGTCAGCCGCTGGTCAGTTTCAGCAGTGGCTGAATCTGGACGCCAGTTCCGACTTACATACAGATTCAACTTAAGAACAAACCTACAGTCCATATCCTGTACGTAACCCGGGGACTGCCTGTATACAGTTTTTAGGCAACTGTTTGCACTAGTATACATGTGATACGTAACAGATTATTACTATCAGGTATAATCACAGCAGTAACAAGGTGCACAGGCTATACAACATTTTAACCATTTCCTTAAAAAAAAAAAAAAAAAAAAAAACAGAAAAGTTTATTAAAAATCACTTGGCCTTTTTCCTTTAAGGAGAGAAAAAAAGTTAGAAAAAAAGAACTTACTCTTTGTTCATTCCCTCCAGGAGAACAGCTGAAATCCTTTTTAATTTGTCAGCAAAGTCAGGTAAGCTCACAATAGATGCGCCCACCATATTGCTCGTTATAAGAGATACACAGGCTATAATCTGGAGTGCATTCAGCTTCTCCTTCAACTTCTGAAGACGAACTTCATCCGTTACTAATGTCTAGAATTAGAATAGCATTGATTATGTTAGTGATACCAACTGAGACTTAAGATACTTGTTTGGGCATTAATTTGAGGGGGATAGAGCAGAAGCTATTTTCATGCAACATTACTTAAATTTTCAGCTACATTCATAAGTCACAAAATTCACAGTAATTACAGCCAATCCTTTTACGTATATCGTATTAGACGGTTGTTTTAAAAATACATAATTTTTAATGAAGATTTTTTTAAAATAATCAAGAAATAGAAAAGTTTACGGATGAGTCCTACCCTCACTCTTGCCATTTTATAGCAAGTAAAGAGAGCCAGAGTTGCATATTGCTTTTTTCTGCAGTCAAGATAGGAAAGCAGGAGGAATCCAGCCAAACTCTTTTTTAAAGATAAGAATCCCATAATAATGCACTATGAATCAAAGTAGTGGGTTGGCCATTTTCTCTGAAAGTTCTAATCTCTTGCAGAGAATTCCAAGTTAACAGGACGCATATCTCTGAACTGTTACCTGTTACAGAGATATTTCACCACTGAAGATAATGGTACCATCACTGCAGCAGAATGTAGCTGTCATGAGAGAGGGTGATTAAACAGGCTGAGCTGGTCATTCAAGGAACTTAGACCAATGAGATACATGGGTAGAAGATGGGCACTAAAATCTTGACTGTGACCCAGTATGGAACAGGGAGCCAGTCAGTCACAGAGCAGAACACTGGGTTCATGTACTCTTTGTAGCCTGCAATGATGAACAACTGAATGCAGTGTTCCAAACTAACTCCTGTTTTCAAAACCTAGGCTACAGTTTTCATTCATAAGAAGAGAATGAAGACAAATCAAGTCTATAGCCCACATATGCATGGAACTTGAGAGCTAAGTACAAATGTGGCAGAAAGAAGAGCAGTCTTCTTGCCAACATTAGATGGAAGTGTTTTATGCAGCTTGAAAGCTTGTCTCACATGCACAGAAGTTGGTCCAATAAAAGGCATAGCCTCATCCACTGTCTTTCAGATGGAAAAGGGCATTTTTTACTGCTCTGGGAATAAGGATATTCAGAAACTATGAACTATTCAGGTGAATATAGATGCTGCAAATGCTTCACCATCTAACAGCAAATGTCCTCCAAAGTGACATTATTGAGTTAGAAAGTGCCCACCAGCATCACTTTCTAGGTTTAATTGCTGCCAACTGGTCTTCATTCATTGATCTTCTCAGCCAAGTAGTTAGATAGCTAGCAGGTAGATAAAACCATCCCTAATGATACACTTCATTGAGCTAGGCATCATTTGCAGGTTCATATAGTTGAACAGGATTGATTCCCCCGCCCCTGCGGAATCTCCAGATGGCAGACCAGGTGCCAGTCTGGATTCTATATATGGCCTCAGGGGAATGACCAATTCTTACTAGCAGGTCCCTGCTAATACTATCTATTCCTGGCAGAACAGCAGGATTCCTTGGGCAAATGCCTTAAATGCTACAGAAAAGTCCAGTTATATCAGAACAGATGCACTGCCTTTGTCCATGGCAAGGAGATCATTCATAATGTGAGCTGCTGTCCTATTAAGTCAACCTTGGAGAAGATTCTTTAGCCATTAATATTAGTCTGCTCTTATCGCAGTTAGGCTGTGTTTAGACTGCATCCCTTTTCCACAAAAGGGATGCAAATTAGACACATCACAATTGCAAATGAAGCGGGGATTTAAATCCCCCTAGCTTCATTTGCATAAACATGGCTGCTGCTTTTCTCCGGCTCGGCGCTTTGCTGGAAAAAAGCGCCAGTCTAGACAGGGATCTTTTGGAAAATAAAGCCTTTTCCGAAAGATCCCTTATTCCTTTTTCCTTACCAGGAATGTGCTCTTCTACAGTTTGAACCTCTTAAAAAAAAAATCAGGACTCTGATCCAGCAGGACCATGGACATTTCCAGCCAGGACTAGGTTAGCAAAGTTCAGGGGCTGGGCTGGTGGCGGGGAGTACAGCCCTGGCAGTAGTGGGGCCAGCAAGGTGGGGAGCACAGCCCCATCTGGGAGTGCACCCCTGGCATCTGTGGGGCTGGCATAATGGGGAGCACAGCCTGCCAGAGGCCGTGAGATCAGCAGCCAGGATCATAGCCCCAACCAGCAGGGGTTAGCAGCACAGCCCTGGATGTGTCCAGCATGGCTGGGAGTGCACCTGGGCCAGAGGCAACAGGACCAGCAAGGGCTGATAGCCCTGGCTAAGGCCAGCATAGTGAAGCATAGCCCCGCCTGGGCCTGAGACAACAGGGCTGGCACCCAGGAACCCAGCCCAGGCCAGCAAGAGTGTAGCTCTAGCCACGGTCAGTGTGCTGGGGAGTATAGTCTAGTCCCGGGCAGGGAGTACAGCCACAGCAGACTGGGGGCAGTGGGCCTGTGGTAAGGAGCAGGGCCAACAACTGGCAGGGAGCCTTGACCTCCCCTGGTCTGGCAAATTCAGTGCTGGTGGGACCGCCCGATCACAATAAAACCAGGACATTTGTGGAATTATTTGGCAAGAGAAGTCCTACAGGAGAGTTCCATGACTTCTGGTGTCACTATCAGTACAATGGCAGAACCAGCACTTTCATGCAGTTAGAATGGAGAGTAAGTTTTGAAGCACTTGGGATAATTTAAGAAGAATCATAAGAATTCGCTTCTTACCTCTGGAATTGCTTTTTTCTGATAATCCCATTGCAACAGTTTCAAGTAGCCATTGTTTAGCACCAGAGTAGGACTGAGATTTGGTTTAGAACTACCAATAGCACCAGGGGATGAAGTGGTTTCACAAGAAACAGACAACAACTCATCTTTTATTGACTCCTTTATCCACTCTGTTGTTAGATCCAGAGCACCTAAATGATAACAAAAGTTCCACATGGGTTTATTATACACTGACACAAAGTTGTACAAGTATACTGACAAGTAACTTAAGTGAATACGACAGCTCCATTTCTGATCTATAAATACACTGCAATGGACTGTTAAGTCAGTGGTGACCAGCTGGTGCTTCTGAGCAGGTTATAAAACCTCACAGACTAGCTGCACTGGAGGCATAAGCAAGATTTAAAACAGTTACCTGAATCTTCAGCAAGACTAGAGCATCAACCATCAATGTAATCAGTTTTCCTTCCTCATCCGAAATGTCTCAACAGTGGTTTAACTGCATTATCTTTACTCTGCACAAGAGTCATTTGTACCTTCACAATATTTAAACATTTATTTTCGGGAGTAGTGTTTGATGTACTACGTTTCATTTTGGATTTGATTCTGCCTACTACCAATTACACACCATGCAACGGCATGTATTCTGGAAAGGCCAGCACAAGATAATGGTTCCATATACTGCAAGATAAAATTGAGCCCAACATATGCAAAACTGTTTTAATCAGATATCAAATGCTTTGATTGCAGGAACCAGTTCCTCACAAACTATCATTTTGGTGTTGTCTTATGCATTTACAACAGCAACAACCAATAAAAAGTCAGCATTTCACAACTGTTAGTTATCATACAAAAGTATGATGGTCATATTTTCCCCCAGGTGTCCTGCTCAACAGATGTCTATAACAACAGAGTGAAAGGTTGGCTTTAATGGTTTCTACTTTATCTTATTAACTGAAAACATCATAATACATACTTGGTGTTTCTTCAAGAATTTCTTGGAATTTTGTTCTTTCGTAGTCGACTAAGTTACGCTGAAGCTGTGGTCTAAGATTTTGAATTGTATAATTAACCATATCCATTTTCATGAGATCCAGAACGTGGAATATTTGTCTGAAAGCAAAGACAAAGTTACAGTGCAACATTTTGAAGTTTCAAGACGTACAACAGGCTGTTCTTCAAGAGCACAAGTTCATGTACATATCTTTGATTTGTTTTGTAGTCCTTTCACCTTAGAGAACAAGCTCCAAGTAACTGAAGAGAAAGTATTGGCACACAGGCCTGCCTACACAGAGGCTGGGAAGAGGGGGCAATTGCTCTGGGGTCCAGTGGTTCAAAAGGGCCCAGAGCTTCCTGATCCCTGCACCCTTTAAAATTGCTGCTGGAGCCCTATGTGGCACACACCAGGCAGTGCTGAGGGCTGCCTAGGTTAGGTGCAGCATGCATGGGGATTGCATAGGGAAGGCTAGTCTCAGCCTTGCCCTGTCCACCCAAGCCCCAGCCCCTTATTAGTTTAAAATATTTTTACCCTTCCTCTCTATTTAAAATATTCAAAGTGGCTTACAAATTTTTTTAAACACACTATAAATTAGAATAATACACAAAACTCCAAAAGTGGGAGGGCATAAAGCCTGCTAAGACACCTCTGGAGGAGGGTGTGCGCACACACTCACAAACTCAAGCACCAGTAAAAGCGTTCATAAAAAGGGTGGCTTTAACCTGGTGCCAAAACAGTGCCAGCGTTGGCACCAGGTGAATGTCCCTGGGAAGAGAATTCCATAGTTTGGGGGCAAAGGCTGAGAAGGCCATGCTCAAAGTAGATGTTAACCTTAGCTCCATGGCTATGGCTACACTGTAGCCTTGCGGAAAAGCTTATGCAAATAAAGCATGGTGTGGAATATGGGCATGCTTCATTTGTATAATTAATTAACATCCACTTTTGCCCAAGAGGCTTTTGCACAAAAAGGAACTGCATAGATAGCTCCTATTTGCGCAACAACCCCCTCTTGCGCAAGAGCTGTTCTTCCTGAAAAAAAAAAAAAATATGAGGGTAGAGCAGCATGCCCCCTACCTCCACCTTCTGAAAACTTCCTGATAGGTAAGATTGGGACCATCACAAAACAGTGCCTCCAATACCCAACTCCTCCAGGTGCTCCAGAAGTAAATCATGGTCAATAATATCAGAAGCCGCTGAGAGAACCAAGAGAATCAACAGGGCTGCACTCCCCCCGTGGGTAACCAAAGCAGTTTGGTGTTCCAAAACAAGGCCTAAAGCCAGACTGAAATGGATCTAGATAATCCATTTCCTCCAAGAAATCTTAGATTTGTAATGCCACTTCCCGCTTGAGTACCTTGCCTCGGAAGGGAATATTAGCAACTGGGCGATAATTATTCCAATCGTGTGGGTCCAAGGAAGGCTTCTTAAGGAATCGTTTTATCACTGCCTTTTTCAAGGTGGTGGGAACCGTCTTGAATCTAAAAGAAGCATTAATAATACCCTGGGCCCAACCAGTCATCCCTTCTCCGCTTGATTTAATAAGCCATAAAGGTCAGAAGTCAAGCGAGCACGTGGTTGGTCACACCTCTCCAAGCACCCTGTCCACATCCTCAGTCTGCAAAAGCTGAAACTGAGCCAAAGAAAACCAACCAGGTGATGTGCTCAATATATTACGTACTCCACTTACAGGACAGTTAGAGTCCAAGTCAGACTATATGCCTATGTCTAGACTGGCCCCTAATTCCGGAAAAGTCATGCAAAGCAGGTAAGTCAGAATAGGGAAATCCGCGGGGGATTTAAATAAACATGTCCGCCGCTTTTTTCCTGGCTTGGGGAAAAGCCGGAAAAAAGCGTCTAGACTGGCGTGATCCTCCACTGGCCCGATCCTCCGGAATAAAGTCCTATTCCGGAGGATCTCTTATTCCTACTTTGAAGTAGGAATAAGAGATCCTCCGGAAAAGGGCTTTATTCCGGAGGATCGCGCCAGTCTAGACGCTTTTTTCCCAGCTTTTCCCCAAGCCGGAAAAAAGCGGCGGACATGTTTATTTAAATCCCGCAGGGGATATTTAAATCCCCCGCGGATTTCCCTATTCTGACTTACCTGCTTTGCATGACTTTTCCAGAATTAGGGGCCAGTCTAGACGTAGCCAACGTGAATAGTCTTATCTGCAAAGTGCTTCAAAAACAAGTCAGACAACTCCCCCTTTCACTTTGCCTAGAAAGTCTGTTGGCATTGCAATTACTTTCATGGTAGTTTATATCCCCAAGCATCTTGGAGAGGGAAGTAATGTATTGAGATATTTTGTGTAAATTACAAAAAGTAGGACAAAGATGTTGCATGATCAAGAAAGGAGTGCCACAGGCCAACAACAGAAGTGTTTCTTCAAAAACCTATCACAGCCCAAACAAACTGAAATGTAAAAGTCTAGCAACTCAAACACCTCATTCCCTCCTACTCAACTACTTTACTCCCTGTAAGCATGCCTAAGCAATAGCAAAAACAATCAAGCAATAAGCTATTTTTCATATTACAGAGCTAATACATCTGAGACTAATCCAGATTTGTCAGTCAAACTTTAAATAGGGAAGTCTTTACTAGAGGGAATAGTGCAACCAGGAAGAATTGAGTTTCAATTTCATATTCCAAATGGAGTGTACATTCTCCTCCCTGCACTCTGTCAGTTCTAAACAAGAATACTCACGCATCTTTTAACTTGTAAGAATAAACAAGTTTGATATAGAAACACATAACACACATGAAACTGTGTGAGGCTTTGTTTTGTTTTTAAAAACAGTGACAATTTTCAGGGTCTGACAACATTTTAACATATGCCTTTAAAAAAAAAAAAAATCTTGTCCAAAAACCTCAAAACAATTAGAACTCTTAGATTAAGAATCAGGTTACGCAACTTTACTGTTGACCTAGACCTATGGCTCTTTCAAATGAAAGTATTTAAGCAGTTTCTTAGCTTAGCCTACTATTCCAATTTAATGCTGGATTAACTGTTGCAGGGCCAGAGAGGGCATGGCAGGGTCTGGACAGGAGGTGCTTACCTGGCACCTGCTCTTGAGAGCACACATGGCTCTGCACCTCATGCCACTCCCAGACACCGCCCCCTGCCGCGTTAGGAGTGGAAAAGCTGCAGAGGAAGTGTGTTGCTGTGCTGCCAAGCTCCCAGTTGGGAAGAGGAGGAGTGGCAGCATGCAGAGCTGCTTCCTCCTTCCTACCACAGGTGTTCCGGAATTAGGGATACATAGAGTACAGAGGTTCACAGAGGTTCAAGTGTATTTTCTAAACAAACAAACAATTTTAAAAGTAGCCAAACACCAACCTCAACAACTCTACAATATTGCCAGTTGCTTTTAATTGTTTTATATCATCATCTCTTATTGGAGCACATAATTTTCCCATAGTGTTGATTACATAGTTAGCAAGCCCAAGAACATCAACAGCATTATGCTCGACCTGCTGTCTTAAAAGATCTGCATCCAGTACTTCACAGATTTGGTTTCGAATCCTGTTTGCTCCAGGAGTCAAAAATGACAGAAGAGTCTAAAGTTCAAAAACAAAAGCAAAAAAACCGCACAAGACATATTAATAAGTGCAATAATATAAGACCAGTAAGTTCCTCATAAGTGAAACAAAATACAGGACTATGTAGCACTTTAAAGACTAACAAGATGGTTTATTAGGTGATGAGCTTTCGTGGGCCAGACCCACTTCCTCAGATCAAATAGTGGAAGAAAATAGTCACAACTATATGTGTGTGATGATATGAAAGAAGCTTTTTGAAGAACATAAAGATAAATGGTAGAACCTGACTGCAAATCAACAAGTTGAGAAGGCTGTTTTACTTAGCAGGATGGGAAAAAGGGTACAACATACAGATCCATGAAGCTGGTGAAGACAGCTTTACTAGATTGCTGGCCAAGACCAATGTAACCTTAAAATGGGTGGCATACCCTTACGTCTTTTCTAAAAGACAAGGTGGCATACCCTTACGTCTTTTCTAAAAGATTAATGTTTTACTATCTGGATTTCCAGTAATAAGGGAAGATCTTGATCCTATTTGGTAAACTTATGTGTAGCTTTATATTATAAGCATACTTTAGTACTGCATCACAGCTCCACATGAAGTCATTTGCAGGACTGGGGTCTAAGATGTCAACACAAGACTTTTGTGGCATGAAGGGGGTAAAAGACCAACTTGCCTCCTTAATTTCTTCAAAGAGCTTGATAGCATGATCATATTCTGGAGGATCTTCATTCAGTTCTGACTCCAAAAGATCCCAGAATGCCTTATGTACAATTTGTTTCACTCTACCCTCCAAACTGCAAGAAAAAAAAGTCAATGTGCACAAAAGGATTTAAAGAAGAGAACAAAGTTGGAGGGGAAAAAAAAATATCCATATACACAATCTTTTAAATCAGTCCAGTGACTGGGTGGAGAGCCATCATCATATTTGCTAACTGGAAGATCTATATCTGCAACTATATCATACTTGCACCACAAGTAAACACCATCCGGAAACTAAGTAGAATTACAAATTAAAATGAAATGTTTCTAGGAAAATCCTGATATTGCAGAACATGATGCTAGAAATTCAGTATTTGGCTATAAAAGACATTTATCCCACCTCTGTATTAAGCCAATTCCACTAGCCTGGTACTATTGAACAACATGTTTTGGGAGAAGTATTTTTGTTATGTGTATAAAACAAGAACCCTAACTTGTTTTCAATAACAATCCCATTGTATTATTGTAATCTGGCTGTGATACTGAGCCATTTTTTACATCTCTGAACATTCTCACTATAGTCTAAACTAGGTATGCAAGTTATTATTCTATTTCTCCAACTTCCCAGAAGACTTTTAGCACATGGAGCAGCATAAATCTTTTTGCACGTGGAGCAGCATGAGTACGGTGTTCATTACTTAAATGAGCATACACAGCATTTGAACTTCTGAGTAAACTGTATAGCTAAAAGGCATATATGTCACATACACTGCAGTAGTACAACTTTATCCCCCACTATGTCCTTCCCAGAAGTCTTAGGATTGGAAAGAAACATTAAAAGGTAGAGTCCAAAAGTGGAGTGCATACCACATTGCTTACATATCCCCTCCTTTATAAATAAATCAGAGCATCACATGCCCTAGGAGAAGAAGGTACTGTATGTTAGTCCTACTAAATTGAAGCACTTGTGCCACAATGTTCTAGTCTTGACAGTTCCTGGTAAAGTCTGAAACATCTTGACAGGTTGTGCACCTTCAGTCCTACTTCCTTTGTGCACACACACATACCCCCATATCAATTTCTGAAAAAATTATAAAGACTCTCTAACTTACCTGTTCCGTGGGAGGTCTACATGTTCCATGTGAAAGTTTTCATTTACAGCAATTTCATGAGCTAGAGTCAAATTTGACAAGTTTCTTGCAGCAGCCATCAGTTCATCAAATGTAACAGTTTTTGGAGGGCTTGTTGCTGTAATGAAAGAAAGGAAATGTGGGTCACAAGTCAGTTGTTGGGAAGTTCAAATTTTAAAAGAGGGATTAGACTGCTAAAAGCAGTCATGCAAATAGTAATTGGGCATGACATTTATTTCCTATTAACTGGACACTGATTTATGAGAAGCTAACTAGACTGGGAGTTCTCTGAATCTCCTTAAAATGACCTGGTAAGCGAATGTCCTAACACCGTGGTCCCCAACACGGTGCCCGCGGGGGCATTTGTATGCGCCTGCCAAGTGCTCGGGGCTGGCCTGGCCCCGGGCACATGGCGCACGATAAGCGCCGGCCCTGGGAGCGCTGTGAATTGGCTGTCCGCGCTCTGGGTGCGCAGCGCTTAGGGGGACACCGGCCCCGCAGCTCATCCTTGGAAGGTATAAGACTCTCATTGCATAGTTTGAAGTGCAGCAGTTTAATTTGCTACTTTGGCTAACATATCCCTTTGACTTTAAAATGTGGGACCCAATATATAACAGATTGCACAGAGTTTTGGGCTGGCAGGTTTTACATAGCAGTCAAAATAAATAAGCATAAATATGGGCAGACTATACGCATTACTGAGTAAACTGATGCATTTCTCTCCATAAATCACTGTAAGCACAGTCTGAACTCATTACTTTGAGATATGCAGCTTTTGTTCCAAAGCATATGCCACAATGTCTTTGACCCACTAATCATGTCTCTTATTAAAGAGCTTATGTAGTAAATGACATAATACAGAATACCAAATTATGTACACACTCTTCTTTGAAAGAAGGCTTAATTGCTCACAAAGTATACAAAGTTTCTAAAATAAACTTGTTTACTTTTCATATTTGGAAAGCGTGCTTGAGAAGAGAGACATGGTATATTCCCTGTTCTAAATACAAACTTTCAGTTCCATTAACAAGTTTACTGTTTGACAAACTCATACATACTAAAAACATTTGTTAAGGTCAGTGAAGTTCTCTACATCAAATACTATTACTTGTAAGGTAGTATTTAATCTCATGAATCATTCAAAATAACTTGCTTCTTCACATTTCTATTTTGTGTTTTGACATATTACTGCTCAGTGAAAAAACGTAACAACGCTATTTGATTGCGTAATTCTTAAATGTAAAGATCAAATGAAGGCAATCACATCCTTTACACATTGTGCAACATTTGCTGGTTGGACAGAATGGTACTATTTTGTGACCTATAAGCCAAAGCCAGAATAATCCAAGACAAGAATGCTCTGGCAGGCAAATTTTGGTTATCTTTTAAGAATAGAATAGTAACAACTCCTGCATGTATTCTGAGAATCTGCTTGTGTTTCATGATGGCAAGCCATACCTCTTGGGTCTGTGCCAATCCAAACAAGCTGTGCTTTCCTACTAACACTCTCTAAACACCAGTTACAAAACCCAAGTCCCACTCAATGCATGGGACACCCAGGAAAATACAGAAATATAGCCAATATATTGTACAAGTTAAATCTGCTTACAAGCTGGGGAGCTGGGTTTGCTTGAAGAGTCACTAGTAAAACTCTGCCTTGAATATTCAGAGTCACTGGAAGAAGCTGTGCTTTCAGACAGCCTTGAAGAATCAAAATCACTGTTCTGGCCATCATTGAGGGGCATTCTGAATCACTTCACTTGGTACAGTAACAGAACCTGGAAAGAAATAATTGTACATGATCAACATTTATTAGCACTTTTTATTTTTGAAAGACTTATTTACAAAAGCAGCAATATTTGAATGTTATGAGAATTGACTGTTACATGTTGCCTACTTTATAAATGCGTTATGAAGTTTAGTGGATTTGTGAAGTTAAGTGCGTAAGGAAGATGTTTAGGATTGAGAAAGTCCTAAAAATTAAACTTTCAATTTGGCAAGAAAATGCTGTTTTGGGTTTGGTGCAATAGCACTTAGATGTCTTCTTAAAAATGAATGTCAGCAGCACCATGCCTTAATCTACTCTTTACACAAAGGGTATCGTGCTGTCAGGTGCATCGGAAGCAGAGCTCCCAAGCTCTTTAAAGGTACTCCTTAAAGCACTATCCCTACTGATGAATATAGATGCAGAATAGAACTCTGAAGGCATCTTAGTTTCTGTACTTGGTTAGAAAAGGATACCACACAATCCCTTTCTCCCACAAAGACAATGCTGGGAAGGGAGAAGAGGAAAGGGGGAAGGTGCCAAAGGAGGCAGCTGCCCTGGAGCCAATAGCGGCAGCGTTCAGAGCCCCAGGCCCTTGGAATCACTGTTAGAGCCCCGAAGGGGTTGAATCACCACCCCCAGGTGGTGCTTAAGGGTGGGTTGGGGAATATTAGCCCTCAGCCCTGCCCCTTCCACCGAAGGCCCTACCTATTCTGGGGGACAGGAGCCACCTTTGCCCCAGCTTGCTCAAGACCAGGCGTAGTCTGTTGGCCGCCCTACCCGCAAAGGGTATGTCTACACTGCGCCATTCTTCTGGAATAATGGCTGTTACTCTAGAAAAAACAATACTAGCGTCCACACAGCAACTGCATTATTTCAAAAGAAAAATCAAAATAATGGAGGTTTTTTTCCAACGTTGGTAAAACTCATTCCACAAGGAATAATGCCTCTTCTGAAATAGCTATTTAGGAATAGCAGTAGTGTGGAAGCTCTACTGCTTCTATTTCAATATAGCTTCTCCCCCAGGCCATTCAAAGGAATTACTCCCCAGTGTTTCCTGGGGCGCTAAATCAAGGTAGCACATCCACCTTAGGGGAGCTTGCACTGGATATCTACATTAGGGAAGCCTGCCGCAAAATAAGCTTGCTGTGTAGATGCACCCAAAGAGACCACAGTTCCAGAAGCAGGGGCAGCAACTATCTTTTTAGGGAGAGAGGGAACTAACACATCCTACAAGGCTACTTATAAGGTGGGTGCATAACTGGCTGAATAATTGTTCCCAGAGAGCTGTTAGTAATGGTTCACAGTCATGCTGGAAGGGCATAAGAAGTAGAGTTCTACAGGGGGTCAGTTTTGGAACTGATTTTGTTCATCATCTTCATCAGTGATTTAGATATTGGCATAGAGAGTACATGTATTAAGTTTGTCGATACCAAGCTGGGAGGGGTTGCAAGTGCTTTGGAGGATAGGGTCATAATTCAAAATTATCTGGACAAACTGGAGAAATGGTCTGAGGTAAATATGATGAGGTCTAATAAGGACAAATGCAAAGTACTCCACTTAAGGAACAATCAATTTCATACATACAAAATGGGGAGCGACTATCTAGGATGGAGTACTGCAAAAAAGGATCTAGGGGTCATAGTGGACCACAAGCTAAATGTTGTCAATAGTGTGACACTGTTGCAAAAAAAGCATTAACGGGTATTGTGAGCAAAACATGAGAAGTCATTCTTCCGCTCTACTCTGCATTGATTAGGCCTTAGTTGGAGTATTGTTTGTGTCCAGTTCTAGACACCATGTTTCAAGAAAGATGTGGAGAAATTGGAGAAGATCCAGAGAAGAGCAACAAAAATGATTAAAAGTCCAGAAAACATGAGCTATGAAGTGAAGCTGAAGGAATTGGGCTTGTTTAGTTTAAAGAAGACTGAGAGGGGACAGGTTAGTTGTTTTGAAGTACTGAAAAGGGTGTTACAAGAAGGAAGGAGGGAGGAGGAAAAAAAAAAGTTCTCCTTGACCTCTAATGATAGGACACAAAATAATGGGCTTAAATAGCTGCAAGGGAGGTTTAGGTTGGATATTAGGAAAAACTTCCTGTCAGGGTGGTTTAACACTGGAATAAATTGCCTAGACTTGAGATATTTAAGAGCAGGTTATATAAGCATCTGTCAGGGATGATCTAGATGGTGCTTGGTCCCACTGTGAGGGCAAGGGACAGGACTTGATGACCTCTTGAGGTCCCTTCCAGTTCTAGTATTCTATGACTCTAGGATGGAAGACATTCAAATTTATCCACAGATCTTGCAATGTGGAAGGACTCACCTAAAAGAAGCAAGCCACAGAATGAGACTAATAATTGTGTTCAGCTGGAAGAGTCTTTCCCTGGGATGAGATGGGGAAGGGTGGGGGAAATAAGCAAAACAAGAACAAAAAAAAGTTATTACATGTATGGCATATAGCAGCATTTTTCAAATGAAGGGATCTGCGAGCTGCTACATATCAGCGTGTTTCAAACTTTAAACAGACTTAGGATAGGAAGTAAATACTTTGGTTTAATTCCATATCCAGTTGTAAGTAGATAGCCTGTGCAATTACTCTAAATGGAAGCTGGGCAGGACACCAACACTGCCACAGCTATTCTTGCATAAAGTGCAATGGAATACTTCATGCCCACTGTTAGAGACTTCTAATATGAGAGGCTACCTCACACCATTTTGTCTCAGAAGAAAAGGAGATCTACTGAATCAGCAACACCAACTAGACTAGTTCTTTGCAAACTGTTAAGTTAGTTTAGTGATTAAGAAAAGTAATGGACTCAATTTATACCTGAACAGTTTTTGGCAGTGCAAGTGTCCTTGCTATTTTAACTCTTCACCTCAAAAGGCCATGTCTAAAGGCTAAAGGGCAACTTGTCTTCTATGCCTATTCAACCCACTGTCTCACATTGAGAATACCCAACAGCAGAATTAGCTTGTAGGAGTTTAGTGTGGGCAACTATCCACTGCTTAAATTGCTTTTTGGGCACCAGCTCATTCACAAATCAGAAAGAACAGATGTCAGCACAGCATTGTGGAGCCAAGGTAGGAGTATTTCTTTGGATGGGAGACGAGGAATTCAAGACCTTAGAAGTTTCTTGTGGACATTTTATTTGTGGGTATGATACATGAATTACTGTTCTGTGTTATGCAGGAGTCTAGACAAGATGATCAGAGTGGGCTCTTCTGGACTTGAAATCTAAAACCTACTAAAAGTCACTAACTAGGTTATTTGTTTTGATTCATTCCTATCACAGAAATGAAGGGCTCCAGATTCCTTAATCAATGTCATTCAGCCCCATCCCTCAAAAGAGAGCATAGCACTCCAAATATGGTTCTATTTAAAGAATCTGCATGGCACATTTTAAAATCTGATGTCGCTGTTGGGAGCAGGAATACATCATCATATTTCAGGGTCTACAGCACACGTAGAGAGCCATACCCACAAGTAGCTTCCAAAGTATCGAATATCAGAACATGATACTATAAGACAGTGGTACCCAACCTTTTGGGGCGCCCAGGGGAGGAGCCGCTTACATGCTGCACGTCCAGGGGCGGGGTTGCGCATGCGCCGCGCGCTCCGGGGCCAGCACCGCGCACGTACCGCGCAACCGGGACAAGGCTGGCCCAGATCATTCGGCAGGCGCACATAAATGCCCCAGCAGGTACCATGGCACCTACGGGCGCTGCGTTGGGGACCACTGTTATAAGTTATTTTACCCACAATCACCACTTTTCTAAAATTCACAGCATCTGTAGAGAACAAAAGAATACAAACACATACACAGGATTTATTGTTGGAAAGTAGGGCTCAGACTGATGATAAAGATGAAGCCTCTATATAACAAATGAATTCTGGTTGATATTATAAAATTGTGGCCGTGGAAATAGCTTTATCACAAATATCTCTATATATCCACCATCGCAAACAAACTCAAGCAGGGTATACACTTGACTGAGAACAACCAGGAGTACATAGCACAGCCATTAAAACTATGACCTCACAATAATTATGCCATGGAATATCCCAAGGCTGGGAAACCAGTTTGGCCAAGTTGGTCTGCAGTTGGGTAGAGCCGTGGTCAGTTACTAAAACAAAAAGGTGGACAGGAAGTTTGAGCAGGACAGGGTAAGAAGATAAAACACCTAAGGTCAGAGTAGGCAAGCTGGAGAAAAGCTCCACATTTCAGAACACACACAATATACTGCTACAGAAAGGTACTAGATGGCCCTAAAGCAGGGGTTCTCAAACTTTGTGATTCCACAACCCTCCCCCCCCCCCCAGCGCCTCTTCTCCCCCCCCCCACCTCTCTCTCGGGATCCACAGTTTGAGAAACGAGGCCCTAAATGATTTACCACAGCCCAGTGGGCATTCCAGAGCGGTGAAGAAACTAAAGCATGTGAATGTATGAAGGGTTTATTATTTTTGCATAGGTATGTTAGAATCCTGCATCCGTTACACCTTATCACTTGCCAAAGCTGGGACTGGCTAACAGGGAAAGATCACTTGGTAATTTCCTTGTTCTGTTTATTTCCTGTGATGCATTAGGTACCAGCCACTGTCAGAAGACAGGACACTAAGCTAGATGAACCATTCTTTTATCCCTGTGTGGACATACCTATGGGAACATAAGACTCACAGCATGGCTGCAGCTTACCAGATGAATCAACTTGGGCTCACAAGTCTTTTTTTTTTTTTTTTTTTTTCCCGTGCAGATATTCAGACTCGGGCTGTAGTCTAAGTTTGTGGTCTTCCGCCCTCAAAGGGTCCAGAGCTTGGGCCCCAGCCTAAGCCTAAATGTCTACATAGCCCTTTTTTCAGCCCCAGAGCCTGAGCACCATGAGCCCAAGTCAGCTGACCCAGGCCAGCCATGGGTTTTTTAATCTTTGTGTGGACACAGTCTATGTCCCTCTTGACGAGGTAACCCAGTAGGCTCACTCCTTCATGTGCAGTTATGGAAAAGTAGGTATTTGAGCTATTGGGCGGGAGTAGGGAAGGGACGTCTGATGGGCCAGTACTGGTTCAGTTCCATGGACTCAGCAGTTGATCACATACTCTGAGCTCTCAGAAGGGGTGTCAGATAGATCTGTACCCCAAACTAGGAGCAATAGATAGATTCTTTTCAGACTGGAGGTTTAAAACACACAGGATCTAGCAGCTCCATCTGATGTGTGGCCAAGAGGAGGGGTTTGACAAGTGCTGACACACAGCGTATATTCCATGCATATAAAAAAAAAAAAAAAAAAAGTTCCTCACAACATATAAGTTATTCATTATAAGCATTACCTCTCAATGGTGAGTGCATTTAACCGTCGTGAATAAGCGCCTAGCAGACCTGAAGCCTATCCCAAAAATAAAAGACTGAACAGATGTTGGGGAAGCTTGCAATGACACTACATGCTTTAGCAGCAAGCTGGAAGGTCCACATTCATAGGATGAGAAATTAATCTACTCTCTATGCCCATTCCCTTCTTGGGCTCTACTGATATGCACACATCTATGTACCTTGAAGTGACTAAAGACTAAACACCTATTTTTTGCATGAATACACATGCTTCTGCTGAAAAAAAAAGAGAACACTTCATTTTGCTGATGTAATTGTTCACAAGTTTTTAATTATGAACTCCAACAGCCCAACATAAGAGGACACAGGAAAAAGAGTACCATGACCTCTGATACACAGATTTATTTCTTAGTGAAATTCTTAGGGAGCTGAGGAAATGGTAGGGAAAATGTATTCTTCACAGATCTTAATTCTGTGGTACCGGACATTACTGGTACATTTTCACAACAACAGGTGCACCAGACAGTAAGTGTACCCCCCCCCCCCAGCATAATAAGCAGAAACTGGAAATACAAAATTCAGTACTTTTTAAAATAGTTTATCCAACAGATACGCCTTTGCACAGTAACAAAGACACCTTAGGTATTTGTCAGAGGTAATTATAGAAGACTGCTCAGGGGAGGGCTACACATTTTTTACATGTATCTAATACATATACACCTTGTATCCATTAACATTAGGGGGCACTCTCGATGCAGAGGTAGGTTGTTATGCAGCATGATCATTCCTCTGCAATGCTGTCTCCTTTTTTCCCCCCCAAGTTGTGCACTCAGTTTTAACTCACCAATTTTGTATATAAAATGTTTATTATCCCTGATTAATCCAGCAAAACTCTTGTGCTCCCTCATATTTTGGAGATTGGAAAAGAGAAAGCCATCTTTATAAAGGTTCTTTTTTTGAGTTAGAGCATGTTTTATACACTTCCCATCTTCCAATCTGTGGCCACCGAACATGTAACTGGCAAGTATCCATCTTAGCTTTGTACATTCAGCGTAGCAAGGTAGTTTGCCCACAAGAGAGTTCTGTCCAGTGATCTTCAATAATCTAGACTGTTTATTTGTTCTTTCCAGACACTTTTGTGTGTTGATCCATGTCTTGAGTATTTTTATAGGGGATGGTACAGATCATGTTACTTGTTAGGATGATTGCTGTTGTGCATGCTGAGTCACAATATGCAGGCATGAATCTTACTTTCAGCTGGATTTTGTGTTTTTAGATACCCTCCACAAGCTTGAGGTGCAAAGCAAATTTGCTGTTAGCTGACATGACACTAGAAAGAGGAAAGCAGTAGCTCTACTCTGCAGTCATTGTTAGGCGTATGGGGGAAGCATACATGTAGTAGTTGTTTGCTGATGTTTTACAGAGCCTGTCCCCAGAAGTATAGTTAACTGCTAAAATTGGGCTCTAGACTGCACTTCTACTTAATAAAATGTATTGAATTATAGTATTATGTTTCAGAAATAGTTACACTGCAGGGTTGAATTAATCTAGTAGTTGATTGTGCAAATTGGAAGAGGGTGGGGTTTTTTTGGCATTGCTTTTATAGGCAGTCTAAGCTCCTTGCAATGTATTTTGAGGGCCAAGTACGTATATCATTCAGGACATACTCAGTTTTCTTTTCTTTTTTTTTTTTTTTAAACAGCAGTTGAGTTTGTTTTCAGGCTTTTGAAATGAAAATCATTTTCCATTTTCACTTAATGAGCTGCCATCTGGTCTAGATGATGGTACAATTGCATAGATAGGATTCCCACTGGGAGAAAAAAAAACTTAGGACAGGTCTACATCATTGCTTATATCAAACTAACTTGCATCACTCAAAAGTGTGAAAAGGACACCCCGTGAGCAATGCAAGTGACAGTGACCTAAGTGCTATCCACATACTAGAGATGTTAAAATGTATATATTTGTGTAAACATGTAACTGCTAAAATGCTGCAGAGAGGAGAGGAATGGGAGCCGGCTTTTAATACAGAGGCAGCAGCATTGGAGAGTGGGGGAGGAGGAGAGGGGAAGGGGCGGAGGGCTACATGTAACCAAGAGGATTAACTGATCAGCCCAGGCTCATCGGTCAACTGTATACTCAGGGATGTGAACATGTACCTAGCACATATCTGGGCTATGTTGGCAGAAGATGCTTTCCTGCCAACCTAGCTTCCCCGCCAACCTAGCTTCCACCTCTCATAGAGGCAGAATAATTATGCCAACAAGAGAGCATTCTCCCTTTGGCATAGTGGCTCTTCAGCAGACATGCTGCAGTGGCACCAATATAGTGCTTCAAGTGTAGACCTGCCCTAAATTTTATGATTTACCAATCTTATTGGTACAGTCACTAACATGTTAAAAGGTTTGACCTGAGTTAACACCCTGTTTTACTCCCCTTATTTTCCCCCCCATGAGGGCCTTTAGTAGCATGCTTATTTTTAGCCTGTGCTACATGGATTACACATGGATATTATAATTAGGCTATGTGGCTTTCTACCAGTTTTACAGTGCAGCAATTTAAAGTTCCTTCCCAGATGCTAGACTGAGTCAAAAACTATTTATAAATCTACAAAGCATGCAAATATTCTCCTGAGATTTTTACATGTTTCTTACGAGGACAAGGAATATCCAAAAGACTGTTAAAAGCTCTGGAACAGCTTAATTCCTTTGGCACAGTGAAACTTGAAGCAATAAAAATAAAGCTTGTCTGTGTACAAGACAGGTCTGAGACCATGGAACTAACTCCATCAGGATTTATTTATATATAAGCACTAAAAGCAGCACTCTCTCCTCCAAATGAAAGACATTTCTTTGACCTTGCCTTCTCAAATACAAATACACACACACACACACAAACAACAAAACTATATATTTACAAGACAATCCACACATTTCTACCTCTGGGGAACAAATGAGAGAACAATCAACAAATGATAGATGTGTAGCCACATTGCTTACCATACTATTAGAAGGTGCTCAGATATGACTGTGATAATTTAAGTTTAAAATCTAACATAGAAAACCATCCATAAGATAAAGATGTGGCCATTTTCTCAGGAAGGAATCCAATGTTGACTTTCACAGATTTATACTGTTAGATTTCTTCAAGCCTATGGTGTCTTTATTGTTAGAAGGTGAATTTACATAAAA